TTTCTCTTGTAATAAACTCTCTTTTCCAAAGATGAGTGATTCCTCAATCAGATATTTATTTTTTATATTACTTTTGTTTCAGCAACATTAAATTTAAAAACTGTACTTTTGAGTTAAAATATATATTTATAATTTTAATAAATGACAAATTAAAAAGGCATGAACATTTTTTGTATCGAAAAAATATCGAACCGTGACACCAAAGTATCGAACCGAACCGTGAATTTTGTGTATCGTTGCACCCCTAATACTTTATAACTTACAAAAAGGAAAGTTTTAAGCCTAATCTTTAAAAGTAGAGATAGTGTCTGTCTCTCAAATCCAAACTGGAAGCTGGTTTACAGAAGAGGGGCCTGAAAACTGAAGGCTCTGCCTCCCATTCTACTTTTAAATACTCTAGGAACAACAAGTAGGCCTGCAGTGCGAGAGTGAAGTGCTCTAATGGAATTATATGGTACTACAAGGTCATTAAGAAAAGATGGGGCCTGATTATTCATGACCTTGTATGTGAGGAGCAGGATTTTGAATTAAATTCATTAACAAGAAGCCAGTGAAGGGAAGCTAATAAAGGACAAATATCCTCTCACTTTCTAGTCCTTGAAATTCCTGAAAGAAATTCCTGCAGTGTAACTAATTGGTGTGTGTTATCTGGCGTCATAGAAAGATGGGTTTCATCTGCATAGCACTGAAAATGTATGCTATGCCTTCTGATGGAGGGAAGCATGTATAATGTAAACAGAATTGGTCCTAGCACTGAACCCTGTGGAACTCTTTTACATGAACAAAGTGGAATCTGTTGGATAGATATGATTCAAACCACTGCAGTGCAGTACCTGTAATACCTACAGCGTGCTCTAATCACTCTAATAGAGATATTATGGTCGACAGTATCGAACGCTGCACTGAGGTCTAGCAGGACAAGCACAGAGATGAGTCCACTGTCAGAGGCCATAAGAAGATCATTTGTAACCTTCACTAAAGCTGTTTCTGTGCTGTGATGAGCTCTGAAACCTGACTGAAACTCTTCAAATAAGCCATTCCTCTGCAGATGATCTGTTAGCTGTTTGACAACTACTCTTTCAAGGATTTTTGATATGAAAGGAAGGTTGGAGATTGGCCTATAATACTAGACCTAAGCAAGATGTGTTTTTGTTAGTAACAGGTTTACTAATGTTACATCTGTGAAATGATTTTGAGTAATTTTTTTCCTAATGTTAAGAATTTTATTTGTAAAGAAATTCATGAAGTCATTACTAGTTAGCGTTGAAGGAATTGTTGGCTCAACAGTGCTCTGAGCTTTTTGTCAGCCTGGCTACAGTGCTGAAGAGAAAACCTGGGGTTGTTCTTATTTTTTTCAATCAGTGATGAGTAGTAAGATGTTCTGGCTTTGTGGAGGGCTTTCTTATAGAAGCAACAAACTATTTCTCCAGGCTAAATGATGATCCTCTAAATTATGTGACACACCATTTCACTGTCTAATAACAGATTAAATGCTGTGTTGAGGCTGTCATTTTTACATCTACATGGAAGTTAAAATCACCCACAATAATTAATTTATCTGAGCTGAGCACTAAATCAGGTAACAAGTCTGAGAAATCAGACAGAAACTCTGTGTAAGGCCCAGGGGAGTAGATGATAACAATAAGGCTGGTTTTGAGTTTTACAGCTGGGGTGGACAATGCTAAGCATAGACTTTCAAAATGAATTAAAGTCTGTCTTTGGTCTTCAGTTAGATTAAAGAGCTGGTGTGGAAAATTGCTGCCACACCTGCCCCCTGGCCTTGCTTCGAGGATTTCTGTAGTTAGATATGACTCGGAGGGTGTTGATTCATTTAAACATAGGTTTCTGTAAGGTTGAGTATTTGTTGATCAATCTCTAACAGCGACTTGGAAGAGAGACCTAAAGAGAGACATTTCACTGTTTTATTCTTTGGTGCTGTTGATGATACTGTTTTCCTTTTTCTTTGTGATTTTTTAAAATGTCTAAGTCATTTTTTGACGATTTTTATCTGTTTTTTTGTCTGTTTGGGAGCAGAGATAGTCTCTAAGCGGATGGGGTTTTGGGGTGATAGCAGGAGGAGAGAAGCATGAGAGTATGAGAGAAGTTAAGGCATATGGTGAAATAGATGGTGAAATTAGGAGGAAGTTAGATAGTGCTGTGGTGTCATGAGTTATGGTTTGAGGCGAGGCATTCACATGCTTTATCAGATGCTACCCATCCTGTGATTAGCTCTCAAAAGCTCCATACTCAACCATCTCTAGAGTTACAGGGGGAGATTTGTGTAACTGCAGTAGTCGCAGAAAAAGAACCAAAACACTGACTTTGCACAGGGACAGGCATCTGGCGACAAGGGAGCATTTTAAATTAGCTTCTTCTATTTTCAAAGAATTTGTGCTTTACAGAACACAATAATCATGCTATTCCAAGACTTCACTCTTCATTACCAACACAAGGGTGCACAAGTTTCCAATTTCCAAGATATGTTTTCAAAGAATTTGTGCTTTACAGAACACAATAAACTCAAATCAAAAACAAATCAAAATCATAAACATAAAAAATATAAATAAATAAATAAATTTTGAAATATTTCCTAACTGCAGACAGCACAAATGCATGAATTTGGTAATTTATGTCAAAACACATTTATTTTTTATTAGCTAGTTGGCATTGATGTTAATTGATATTGATATTTTATTGTGTGATTTGTATGTTCGTGTACAGCACTTGGTCAGGACGACCTAAGTGTGTAGGAGCCATAATTAAATGTATTGAATTTTGATGATCACTGGGTTTTCATTTGTTTGGTTGCTATGGTGATGCGTAACGGGAGTCACGTGGGTGCTAGAGGTGACATTAAGAGGGCGTTGTCAGTCTGTCGTCTTCACTGGTTTTGATTTTGACAGAGAGGAGGGCTGGGTAGCCGTAGTTTTTTGTTGACCGCTGCACAACATGTTTCCCCTTGTTGCATTAGAGCCTGTGACGTTTAAGAGTCTGAATCAGGAGCCGATCGACATTACTCTGTAAACTCTCAAAGCACTTTAATAAACAAGACAAACAATTCCACCTCTCGCATTATTGCGTAAAGTTGACAGCGCGTCGGCAAATAGGCAGGCTCCATCCCCGGCCTCTAGCGACTGTGGAAGTCGCTACACCACTGTTGTAATTAAAAGTGATATATAAATAAAGAAATAGAAATATGCAGAGAACATGCAAACGCCACACAAAAAGGGCTGAGCTAACCAGGAACCTTCTTACTGGTGTTACCCCCTTCAGTATCATATATGATTTCGGAATAATCAGCACTGGAATCAGCACGTGTTGCATGAAAGTGAAGGACTGAACGATCAATTTCTTTGAAATTGAAGTTACAAATTGAGACAATGAAAAATTAACAATTTAACTATATATTATTTAATTATATATTTCAATTCTCATTCTTGCATTAAAATATAGAGCGTGCACAACATTTAAAATCTCTCATAAGTGAAGCTTGTGTTTAAAAAATTATATTATTCATCCAGACCAAGAAGAAAAAGTAGTGTAAGCTCATCTTCATTAGTATTTGTGAGAGGATGTCAGACATGCTTTTACACTGTGAGTTGAGGTTTTGTGGTGAGATATTCACACATTCATCATCCACACTCTAACTCACCCTGACAAGGGACAGACACCTACCAGCTTGCACAAAGACTCAGTAAGTAACATATTTGTCTCCCTCTGTTTCTGTCCTTTTGATGTACAATTCAGATGTTTTTTCCTTAAATTTTTTCATACACCACCCTGTTTCTGTTTAAAGGAACCACTAAGAATGGTTTTGTGCAGGGTGCAGAGACGTTGGAGTAAATGATTAAATAAATAAGAAATGGATATGTATCCAGCATATGCTGGATATGTACTTAGTGCTTATTTTCTGATTATAGTGTTTTATGTATTTTAATAATAAAGGCCTGTATAAAGGAAGGCCAGCTTTGACTCACAAACCAAGTGCTCAGCCAGACTAAAAATAAAGGAAGAGCTGCAGAGGCATATTAATAAAGAACAGGAAACCAGACAGAAAAAGCAGAACTAAGTAACACAGAAGCAGTTGTTTTTATCTAAACTATGTGTGACGTGTAAAGGACTATATGCTAGAGATCTGCAAAATGGCTTTGGGCTGTGCATGTCTCTCTCTTCCAGAAGATGATTAAATAAAATAATTATAAATATTTTGACTAACTGAGTCGTGTTCTCTCTTTTCAGTAAAAGAATGACAAGAACCAGATTTAATAGTATGTAGATATGTACAACAGAACAAAAACAGCATATGCAGCATGCTTTGATTCAGAAGCGGGTATGGTGGATGATTCAAATACAGACACTATGTGAGTGTTCTAAGTGTTCATCAAACTAATGGCCTGTATGTAAAGATGTCTGGTTGTTTTGACGTACAGTTCTTTACGTATGTCCAGTTATATTAACCACACAGCAACCCTTCTTTGATGTGTCATTTTTTGATAGTTAATGTACATTTAAGGTGCCATTTAACTTCATTAATAGTAAAACCTTCTTTTTTTGTTCCTTCCAGAGATGGCAAGCTGGGTCTCCACCCTCTTCTTCCTAATCTGGTTGTCAGTCTCTCAAGCCCAAGAGAGGAGTGGAAAAATCCCCACTGTGGAATTCATCTCTGAAAGCCTGATTAACAATGTGGTCCAGGACCCACAGACTGGTCGCATCTACCTGGGAGCAGTCAACAATATCTTCCAGCTGAGCCCGTCCCTCCAGAAGGAGGCCCGCACTGAGACGGGCCCAAAAAAAGATGCCAAAACATGTACACCTCCTGCTTCAGGCTGTCAGGACACACTGCTCATGCCCAACAGCAACAAACTTCTGCTGGTCCACCCATCCAATGGTTCACTAATAGTATGTGGCAGTCGGTACAGAGGCATATGTTCCCTCCTCAACCTGTCTAATGTAGAACAAGAGTTGTATTACAATGACAACAAAGGAGAGAGGACTTACGTGGCTAGCATAGAGGATAATGTGAACGTGGTGAGCGTCATGTCCAACTACACAAAAAATGGCCGGACCTTCAAAGTGTTCCTTGTTGGAAAGGGCTATGGAAGCCTGGACAGTACAAAACTAATCAGCACACGAATCCTTGAGGACTACCAGGACTGGGTTGTGTTTGAGAACATCATTGAGGCATCAGCGGTACAGACGGCGCCATTTGTCCTCAAGTACTTACACGACTTCCAACATGCCTTCAAAGAGGATGGTTTTGTGTATTTCCTCTTTTCTCGGACTCTCGATGGCACAGATAACAAAAACTTGACTTTTGTGTCTCGTCTTTGTGAAAATGACCAACATTACTATTCGTACACAGAGCTCCAGTTAACCTGCGGTACAAACAACCGGTACAACAAAGTCCAAGCTGCATATGTGGCTTTTCCAGGAAAAGAGCTGGCACGGGTCATGTCTCAATCTGGTAATTATGGGACGGTCACCTCATTCACAAAAGTCCTCTTCATGGTGGCTCATCCAGATGACGACGAAAGCGACTCTGCTCTCTGCATGTACCCGCTGAACTCCATCAATCAGCAGCTGATGGATATAATCAGTGCATGCTACAGTGACTCTGGGGAGATTTCTGGGGTTCCTGCTGTGGACGTACCCTACTCATCTCAAGCCTACACAGCATGCACTTCAAAAATTTCCGTAAGTGCTTCTTTGTCAGCTGACTCTAATTTAAAAGAATGTTTTGAAAAACTCAGATTAGTATAATTATAATCTTTAATGCAGTTATCACTTTTTATTATAAAATCTCAACATTTAATTCGTTCCCTGGATAACTTGTAATCTGACCATGGTATTAATTGTAATGTAATTCTATAAACTGAGTGAGATAAGCTGCTTCAGGCCATATAGATGTATAGTTAGGTCTATAATTTGTTGGAGAAAGACACAATTCTTGTAGTCTCTGTACACCACCACAGTGGATTTTAAATCACACAATCAAGATGTGGCTAAAGTGCCGACTTTCTACTTTAATTAAGGGGTTACACAGTTTTTTGGTTTTGTTTGTTTAGCATTTGTCTGAGTCTAAGCAGAGAGTATAGCCCTGTGCACTTCACATTTCATCCTTCTGTTTCTGTTTCGATCAGCAGTCACAGTAATCAGACAGTAGTGACCCAGTTTCAGTGGCAGCGATACATGCCCAATCTGATCATGAGCTGCTTCTCTCCTCTCCATACTTTAAGAATATTTTTTGAGAACTGTAAAGGTTCTTTCAGATTTTCTTTGGCAAAGTTTAATCTGATCCTCTTGTTATTGAGTGTCACCAATAGTTTGAACCTTGTTGTATTCCCATTCATGGATGTGTCTTGACAATGATATGTCTACCTCCCCTGGGTGTTTTTGACTTAGATATTATGAAGCTGTTTTGCTTATCTATGGAAATCATTTTTTCAGGTCTTTATGTGTTGCTGAGCTGGCCATTCCATTCCTTATTTTTTAAGAAAGTACCAGATTATTAATTTCTTTACTACTGAAGTTTTTATTATTTTTGATTCTGATTTATTTTTTCAGCTGAATGTTAGCCTATCTCATTTGCACTGACATGTATTTGGGCTCTAATTCCCAAAGAAATTTTGGCGAAGATTTGCTAAAATGCCTTGAGTTAAAGCTTAAAGTTTAACTTCAATCACTTATTGATTGTTTGATTTAGAACCTGCCCTTGTGGTGTAGAAAGACAAAACCACCAAAATTACGCCTTTGTTCAAGTTATGGGCCGAACTTTAATATGGCTCACTCTCCTCTCACCATGTACTAAATACACCTGTCAAATTTGGCGGTCTATTCATGTTTTAAAATTTTCCCTTTGCTGCCTCTGACATGTCAAGACCGCTGCTACCCTGCACCACTGGTTGATATTTTAGCTGTTTCACATCTCCAGCTCCCACCATAGGGTCTGCAGCTGTAGGGTATTTACTTTAGAGAGTGACTGAGCTTAATACCGAGATCAGATCAGTACCTACTCAGAAATAATTGAAGTATTCCATGAACAATTTTAATATGCCAAAGACTTTTTTAGTTATGGCCCAACTTAACTGGTTATTTTACATTTTTTACTTGCATGTATTAGTAGTTTCTTGTTAAGTGATCGTTAACACGAGTTTTCCTATTGTTCTCGTCTCAGACTTCCAACTCTAAAGCAAATACTTACTTGTAATTTTTATTCATTATTTTAATTCATTATTGTAATCAAAGAAATGATCAGTCAAAACAAAGCCAATTTTAGATTGTAGATTAAAATAGTCGAGTGTTCAAAGCACATTTCCCATCTCTGTTATAAAGTTTAAGTAGGATACGAACAGTACTGCAAAGACAGTTAATGTTATTGGAGTGAAAAGCAAGCAATGTCTGATCGTCCCTTCTTGTTATCCTTTCCCTTTACAGAAGGATGCATTGGGAAACTTCAAGTGTGGTGCAGAGCATTTGCTTTCGCCTCTGGCAAGCAAGCCAGCATTTGCCTTAAAGGCAGATGCAGCATTGACCATGTCGGTCCATCTGACTGCTGTAACTGTTGCTGTGGAGAATGACCACACGATCGCCTTTTTGGGCAGCGCCAACGGAGAGGTCTTCAAGGTTGAGTTCTCTTGTGGTTTTTTTTGTTGGATATTTTTTTCCTCAGTTTAAACTTTTATCTGAGGGAAGGTGTATCAAGTGAATTTAAAACCTCAAATTTCTCTTACCTTTTGTCTTTTGTTTATTTTGTCCAGGTACACCTGAGACCAGGTGAATATGGCAACGAGCCGTACTCCTATGTTGGCAACAACATAGGAGAGAAGGTCAACAAGAACCTTTTCCTTGACCAAAGCCAGAGCCACCTCTACATTACCACAGAGAAAAGGGTGTGTGTGTATATTTAACACTTATTATACATTAAAATTCAGGCAGAGTACTTGCTGGTGCTAAGACTGAGCTCCACAAAGACTGTATTCATTTAAAAGAGAAAAAAATTGATCCAAAGCAAAAAACTATGCTGTGGGTATGCACGGAGATATATAAAATCAAAATGATTTAGTCCGCTGTTTCATTAAGCTTTTTTAAGTTTGTGATTTCAGAAGTTTTGCTTTCATTATATTGACTCACATTTGTTTCTGCAGAGGGGGAAGAGTTTCTAATGTTGATGCTGTTAAACATTCAGATTTTATCGGAAAAATACTGATGTCTTGAAATAAGATCTAATGGATTGGCTTTTACATGTAAAAAAGAAAACAATTTCACGCTGGTTACAGTAAACATTCAGTGCTTTGTGTTGAATAAACTAAGTAATTAAACATGGGGAGAAGACACGAGAGACCCCACTCGCTCCCACTCTGCACACCTGCAAGATACTAAGGAACATTTACAGCTACACTTTAAATACTTGTTATTTTTGTCCAGTGTCTCCCTTAAGGTGCACCTTTGATCATATTTCACGTTGTAATAATCCAGATCACCAAGGTGCCAGTGCAGACGTGCCTCGAAATGAAAGACTGCCAATCATGCGTGGGACTGAGGGACCCTTACTGTGGCTGGTGTGTTTTGGAGGGCAGGTGAGGATCCACACACACACACACACACACACACACACACACACACACACACATACATAAGTACATAAGTACATTCTTGCATGCATTTACAAATGCATGCACACAACAACAGACTAACACAAACACCCACACATGCAATTCCATCTGTAAAACACAGCAGAATATTTGTTCAGTGTTTTATTGCAGACACTTTTAGACCTATTATATTTATAACAGTATATATTGAGACAGTTCATTTTATGACCAACAGTTACATTTCTTGAATTATTTATATAATTTTATTAAAATAATTTTCTATTAATCTCATTCCTGAAATGCTCACAACTGGGAAGTTGGAAAAAATATTATTTTTTATTACTTGCTTAAAGGTTATATGAGTTAAAAGTTGTCATATTATAAATATTAAATGTAGTTACCATTGAGGACCTTGCATGTTTTTCTTTTTGAGACATAAATCTTTATTTTGTGCACAGACCCTGCTGGAAGTCACGTAGGCATTGAGTTGTTATTTACAAACTGACTTTTTGTGAAAGCATTCATGGCATGTGCAGCTCAGGCTGATGGGATTTTCTCATCCTTCGTCTGAAGGTGTACCAGGAGGTCTGAGTGCCGACGGGCAGAGGAGAAGAATGGCTGGTTGTGGAGCCCCAAGCAGCAGTGTGTCAAGATTGTATCCTTCTCTCCTTCAAACCTTTCCTGCAGAAAGACCGGCAAGGTACAGCTCTGTTTATTCCTCACTCAAACTGTCTCTGACTTCCTTTGTTCTCCTTTATTGTCCCTCTTTTCTCTGCAGTACCTAACTCCACTTACATGCAGAGACTGAGTAATAAACTGGGAATCAAAGACCTCGAGCTCTAGGTCTTCCAGCTCTGTATTGATCCACCCAGAAAACTCCAAACTGTCTTATTATAACCTGCGTGGCTGATTGTCTGAAGATGGAGAGCCTCTTCCTATTCCCCCATTTTTTACTTCTTCTGTGTTCCTGCCCGTCTGACTCACACATGAATTCCCATCAGCAGCATGTCACTCCTTTCTCTTTCTCCGTTTCTTTCTTTAAAAAGAGAAACAGTTTCTTTATTATAACTTTGGTTACGCACAGATGCGAACTCAGTGAGATCTTACACAGTTTCCAGTCAGTATTTTTTTGTCTGTCCAGGTGAACATCAATATTCCCTCCCTTCCTACCATTGGACACTCTGACCGTCTGCAATGCAAGATTGAGTCTTTCCAGAGTAACGGCATCATGTCAGACTCTGGTGAGGTCTCCTGTGATCTGCCCCAGCCTGGGCTTATACCGAAAACACCTGAGGGCCAAGGTATGGTCTCTTTAATTACCCTGCTATGTTTCTGTCGTCTTTAAGGTCTAATGTCTGTGCTTCTCCATGATGGTTAACGCTGCATTACTAACTGGCCAAGGTGGGAAATGGGCTGAAAAAAAACATGAGGTTAAGTTAATGTCGGCTGGCAAATTCTCCATCATTTTGTTGAAGAACTTATAGTATCCAACAAATTTGCACCAGAAAATTGCACGAAATCAACACACTAATCTAATTTAAGCTTTATTATTTCAGTTTATAGTTTTTTGTATCAGTAGTCAGCAAACATCTTGCCCAAAACAAAGTGAGTCCCATAAAAAAAGTCCTTTATAAAACAAAACATGAAACTTTTTTTAAATACAGCTCAAGTTTTGGCTTTTATACACTAATATGCAGTTCAGGCAGTTAAATAATCACTGAACTGATTCTGAGGAGATTTATCATAATATTTAATCGCTCTGTTTTTTGTCTTTAAATGTACAAGCATACTTCACATCTTTTATATGATAAAACTTGTATTCACATAAACAGCTAGTGTATCACATTTTAACCACTGTTTTACTGTATCTTCAGACTTTGTGGCCGTGGCTATCAGGATCTTTGTGAATGAGACTGTGGAGTTGGCCACGCGGGAATTCATGTTCTACAACTGTGCTGCCACAGTGAGGAAATCTGAAAACACACCGTGAGTCAGGCTGTTAATCTTTCAGTTCTGCTCTGTCACTCAGTGAAAATACACAGTGACATGGAACACAGCATCATCTGACAACCTTGATGTAAATGTATCACCGTGCATGAGCAGATGAGAGATCAAGGCTCTGTTTGTAAATTGTGATGCATGGTGGTTTTGAATGCACCTCTTGCATTTCTCTCCTGCTTCTATTACCAAGCCGAGGAAATTGCCTCAGTTTCCTTTTCATTAATCAAAAAAAGAAAGTCGATCCTGGCTGTTTTTTTCCCCTCATTTTTTTCTGCATTTCTTTCACACAGAGGAACGTGTGATGAACGAGCTTTGCTTATGTGAAGTTGCAGAGATCCATTTCATTGTCAGCAACATAGATTTTTGTGCCGGACGCTCTCTGATGAGTTTGCATGTTTTAGATGTTGTTTGTGTGTGCTTTTGTGTGTGCATGCTCTACCCTGATTGTGCATGTGAAAGTATTTCCTTATCCAAGTTGGTCCATATTTCTGTGTTTTCAGGTGCATGTCATGTGTAAGCAGTCAGTGGGGATGTCAGTGGAACACGCAGGACCACACCTGCAGCGATGCGGACAACAGCGTGGTTGGTTCCCACATCATCAAGCACCGTCAGGTTAGTTCTTTCTGACAGGTCAAGGACTCTTTTCTGTCATGTATGTGTATGATAGATGTGGAGAACGACTATAGCACAAGTTTTAAAGGACACATCTAAACTTTACATGTGATTCACCGCCTGAGTGGTCCAAACTCCTCCTGAAAAATTAATAAATACACAAATCCCACTATCAGCTGCCACCATCTTGCATGACAAACGTTGCAGGGTGGAGGATATCAGATTCCACATCAGCGGATGTTTCAGCGATATAGTTATCTGTCGCCACAGATGAGGGTGTCCGTTAAGTGGTTAGCATGTTTAAAATGTAAATTATTAAATTATCTAATTTGTTTTCATTCTGTTTCAGAGCGCAAACTGTCCTCGGTTCGAGAATCCAGATCCTGTGCTCATCCCTGTGGGCTACAAGACTCGAATCAGCTTTGAAGGCATAAATCTGAATCATTACCAGGTAAACTGGCCCCACTCCACCCCCAACATGCATCTGAGTTCCAGGGAAAGAAACACTCTCTTTCTGTTTGTGGATATCCCTTTGACAGAAAAAAGGAAAAACACAACAGGTTCATTTTTAGGCTAAAAGAAAGGAGAATGAGCCAAACTTGTTTCTTTTTTTTTTTCCCTACTCTTGCATCTGTTAATGAGGGGTTTTAAATTGGCTATAGGTGTAAGTGTCAGACTGTATGGTCGCGTTTCTCCTGCAATTGAAACCTCTACAAGTTGTATCCTACTTCCTGTCCCATGACAGCTGGGATTGGCTTCAGTCCTCCCACTAATCCCCGCTGTGTAGGATAGGGAATTAAGAAAATAAAGTAATGCATCTGTATGATTTCACAGAGATGGTGTCCCCCATATCAGGTGTACAGTTCTGGCTGTAAGCGATGATACGGCACTCTTACCAACTATTTAAATGTTGCAATTAGAAAGAAAAAAAAGTAGCTTAAAAGGGAGTGAAAGGAAGCAAAAATAAATAAATAAATGTTTTTAAAAAATGGCTCGTTTAGACACACGGGACTGAGTGGTCTGTACTGAACTGAACTCACGCGCAGAAACCCAGAACAGAGACAGCAGATGGTTTAAGGCTTAAGCTCTGGAAACGTGGCAAGGACAAAAGCAATAAAACGTGGCGAGGGGAATGCAGAGCTGGGGCGAGGGAATGGGGCCTGAGATGCCGACTGGAGCTGGGCAGGAAACAATCACACTGAAGAAAGAAGACAGTGGAGTTAGGGAGGTAGTGGAAGTAGCCCTGAAGTGGTAAGCAGTTAAGTATAGCAATTCTTACTTGCAGTAGGTGGAAACAGAGAGTTGAGACGGGGTGAGCCAAGATGAATCCAGAAAATGAGTTGATGACAAACTGGCAGTGAATGAACGTCAGCGTGTGGCTTAAATCACTCTGGCTTGAATGCCTGCAACTGGCTCCAGGTGTGCAGGAGCTGGAGGAGGTGGCCCTGCCCAGGGGCAGATCACAGGTAGGTTCAGGAGCCTCATAAAGCTAACCACCGCGGACCATGACAGAATGAACTTTGGGGGCCACACCAAAGTCCAATATAAGATAAATAAGGATTATTTTGTCTGTGAATCATGCAAAGCTACTCTGGTAAAGTTTTGGAAATGGAAGTAATGACAATAGTTCCCCTTTAAGACTGGAGGTTTCTGTTGGAAGAGGGCTTAAAACGCACTTTTTACCATTCAACCGTAGCGAACAGGTGTGAGGACACCCAACTTTGTGAACAGAATTACTCAAAAAATCTTGTGAATACAATAACTCAAGA